AGAAATTATCATCAAAAACTTGAACAATGGCGTATAGATTGTCATCAAAAGATTGATTTATATTTTGAACAGAAATATCAACAACTCAATCAACTTATTGAAGAAAAAATCGAGAAACAACAACAGGAAGTTACAAGAGTTCAATCGAAATTAGTAGAACTCATTCGTGAACAAGATGCAACTCATCAAGATATTGATATGTTAACATCAAATATTAATCATCTTCAAAAAGAAATCAATAACATCGAACAAAATCCTATTCATATAAATATTCGTCCATTACTTATTGATATCGATTATATTCATATAAATGAAACAGATTATCAGGAATTTAATTTGTCTACACTTTCACCAGCTCATAAAACAATCAATCGTTCCTATGGAAGTTCTAGAGAATTGGCAAGTAATGATCAATATTTGTTATTTCATGATGCACCTAACCTATGTTTGATTGATCAAAATTTGACATTAATCAGAAAGAGTTTATGGCATCATGGTAAGATTTTTGACATGTGTTGGTCATCAACATTAAAACAATTTATTGTACTTGAACTAAATGATATTTATTTTGTCAATGAAAATACAATGATGATGGAACGTATAGAAACAATTAAAAAAGAAAGATGGATGTCATGTACATGTTCTGATACATCTCTCTATTTATCAACAAGAGTACATGGTTCATCGATTTTAGAATTCAGTCTATTACCTACGATAAGATTAATTAGAGAATGGAAATGTCCTGATTCATGTTTGGAAACTGAAGATATCACTTGTATAAAATATAATAATGAAACCCTTGCATTATTAATTCGAAATAATTTGAATAAAACTATGAGAATGAAATTGAAATCTTCCATAACATTCGAGCATATTTGGTGTTTTCAACTTGATTTAGTATATAACAAAGAGAAAACACTTCGATGTTGTTCATTAACTGATAATGAGTGGCTTATAGCTGATCATGAAAAATGTCGTTTAATACATATTTCAAACGATGGAAATATGAAAAGAATGTTAACATATAATGATATTCCTTGGTTTGTGAATTTGTTCG